GGGCATAGAGGGGAGGACCGTACCATGTCGGGGGGCATAGAGGGGAGGACCGTACCATGTCGGGGGGCATAGAGGGGAGGACCGCACCATGTCGGGGGGCATAGAGGGGAGGACCGTCCCATGTCAGGGGGCACAAAGGGGAGGACCGTACCATGTCAGGGGGGGGCATAGAGAGGAGGACTGTACCATGTCAGGGGGCATAGAGGGGAGGACCGCACCATGTCAGGGGGCATAGAGGGGAGGACCGTACCATGTCAGGGGGCACAGAAGGGAGGACTGTCCCATGTCAGGGGGCACAGAGGGGAGGACCGTACCATGCTTGGGGGCATAGAGGGGGAGGACCGTGCCATGGCGGGGGGCATAGAGGGGAGGACCATACCATGTCGGGGGGCATAGAGGGGAGGACCGTACCATGTCACGGGGCATGGAGGGGAGGACCGTACCATGTCGGGGGGCATAGAGAGGAGGACCGGCCCATGTCGGGTGGCATAGAGGAGAGGACCATACCGTGGGGGGGGGGCATAGAGGGGAGGACCGTCCCATGTCGGGGGGCATAGAGGGGAGCACCGTCCCATGTCGGGGGGCATAGAGGGGAGGACCGTACCATGTGGGGGGTATAGAGGGGAGGACCGTACCATGTCAGAGGGCATAGAGGGGAGAACCGTCCCATGTTGGGGGGCATAGAGGGGAGGACTGTACCATGTCGGGGGCATAGAGTGGAGGACCGTACCATGTCGGGGGGGCATAGAGGGGAGGACTGTACCATGTCGGGGGCATAGAGGGGAGAACCGTAAAAACGCTCCACGAACGCCGCATGTGCGGTTTAGCGGCTGTTGCTAGGCATTTGCCAAGCGTTAAAAACACCCCACAAATGCCTATAATGAAGTTTGAATGGTGTTACCGCTCCACAAATGCCTCGCAACTGCGCCGCAGCCGGCCGGGCGTTTGTGGAGCGGCACCATAGACTTGAATAGGAGGCTTCAACTCCTCCTGACTCGACCAGAGGCGTCCGTTTTGCCGCGACACGATGCTAACGCTCCCTTTTGAACAGCACTATGTGCTGCAATGTGCAGAATTTTCCCAGGTGTTTGGGAAATGGTAAAAATGCTTCCCAAACTCCTGTCTGCCGCTTGCTAACAAGGCTAGTGTGAACGCAGCCTTACTCCTGCTGTGGCTGCAACATGTGGGTGGGGTTGGTAAATAAAACACATCTTAACTATAGGGTGTTATAATCCCCCCAACTGCCAATGCAAGTGAACCCTTACTGTTCTGAGCCCCCTATAACGCTGCTTTCACACTGATGTGTGGGGGTTTATCTGCAGCGCAGTGCATCTGCGACTTTTCTGGGTTAGCTGCACTTTGTCATAGACTTTTATTATATCTTGCAGGTGTGATGCACTTTCTGAAACTGCACCAAATCTCCTGCATGCAGAAGGTGCACCAAACCTGCCGGATATAATAGAAGTCTTTGGCTAAGTGCAGCAAACCCGCAAGAAAGCTGCAGGTACACTGCACTGCACCCGAGTGTGGATAAACCGCAGTACATCAGTGTGAAAGCAGCCCTATACTATTATGCCCAGTGTATTGCTTCACATTGACCTGAAGATCTCTCTCCTGCTGCTGGCACCATTCTGGAGACTGCTAGCCAGGATCAGAGGTGGAGTGCAGTTGGTCAGTGGCGTCCCTAGGGGGTGCAGCATGCATTTTGGTGACACCATCACGGGGTGCAGGAGCAGAATGCCTGCAGAGCTTCTGGGCTCTGTGAAGGTCCTGGCCAGTTATTGGGGTGATCCTGGATTCCCGGCACAGTGACAGCTGCCCCCAGTGTAGGGGTAAAATGAGTATCCTGACCCATAAAGATATGTATCCCCTGAAGCAACTGCACATGTGCTAGTTTGAGGCCGAAGAAGCTGATCACCGATGTCCGACTTTAGCACAGAGCTGCCACAGTTAACCCCTTACAGGTTGCAAACTGCTGAAGCTGATCCCGTGGATCACTATGGATTGCAAGATCAGTTAACCCTGTATAGTTTCAACCTGAAGTTGGAGATCGGCTTCTTCGGCCTGAAATCGGCACATGCGCAGCTGCTTCAGGGGATACATATATTCACGGGTCGGGATACTCATTTTTCCACTACAATGGCACTGCTCCTTCCTCTCTGGAAGGGTGACACCATGTGTTACCGCACTGGGTGACACCAACCCTAGGGACACCTCTGCAGTTGGTATCACTCTGCATAGAACAGGAGCCAGCACTACAGAGGAGGCATCGGCTTATTGTGCCCTACTACAGCTCCAACCAGGGGCGGACTGGCCATTTGGAAACTCGGGCACTGCCCGATGGCCCAGGGTCAGTAGGGGGCCCCATGAGATGCCCCTGGTACATTTTTCATAGGCTTTTTTGAGTTTGGGCAAGGACACATGGGCCCCATGATCCCCTATTGCCTGGGGGCCCCATGAGTTGTCAGTCCACCCTTGGCTCCAACTTTACAAGTAATCCCTCTATATTGCACTCTGATGCCCTGACATGGTGGCTCAGCAGCCCGGACCATGATCTACCAGTCGCCTGGCCGAAATCTAAGGGTTGCTGACTCCCAATGTAGCTCTTGAACAGAGTGCAGAATAGATTTACCACAATACTCACATTTGAACTCCCATGGAACTGTGCTGATCACATACACTCTTCCAAGAAAAAAAAAAACCTCTAGCAATACACCAAACTGAGCATGTGCAGAGTGACTCCACACAATATGTCTTATCAGGAGATAAGTGGGGGACACTGGAAGAAGGGGAGGATCCGAGAAGTCATGATCAAACAGTGTTTTTACACAATGCAGAGGATTAACCCCTTAGGTTCCACAGTGAGTATAACATGAATTCTTTACTGCATATACAGACTGATTTTACTATTGTGGGTTTAGTAACACTTTAAAGCACATTATGTTGCATGTTAATACTGTATGCATTGAATTAAAGTGTATGTAAACCCTCACCTTGTAAAACAACCTATCCAGTTTAAAATGGAAATGAAAGGCAAAACATTTGTATATACACATACGAGGTGGTATCAAAAAGTTTCAAGACTAGTTTTGTAGCACGCCAACAGATGGCAGCACAAAGCTGCACACACAGTCACTGGGAACACTGATCTTCATAAGTCAGTGTGCCAAAAGACATTGTCGTGTGTACATTGGGAGCTGTGCAACTGGTGCTATTTTGACCACATACGTTACCACATCTACTATTTCATCATGGACAGCAAGTTCGAACAAAGAGCAAATGTGAAATTCTGCATGAAACCTGTACACCCAAGTTTCATCACCAGTAATGATCCTCGACATGAAGGATGGGTTATCCATGGCATGCTGATGCAGTCCTTGGCAGGCTTTGACGAGGTGTTCCTTCTGCTCCTGGGTCAGTGGCCTGGGGACAAACCTGGCAGCAACATGGCGCATGTTCAAATAACGCAGGAGGATTGCCTGGAGTGTTCCGTATGACACACAGACAATGGCAGCAATGTTGTGGATTGTTCTCCAACGATCATCATGCACAAGTTGCTGAATGGTTTTGACATTTTTGGGGGTTGAGCTCGTTGAAGGTCTTTCTGATCTCTCATCGTCTTCCAGTGATGTTCTTCCACTTTTGAAGTGCGCGTGGCACTCAAAACACCTCAAACGTCTCATTGCAGCATTGCCGTAAACTTGCCGGCGCACTGACTTATGACGGTCAGTGCTCCCTGTGACTGTTCATGCAGCCTTGTGCTGCCATCTGATGAACAAAATTAGAACGGCGCACTCTATGCATTACCATGGTGAAAGACGGGTTTATTTAAAAGCATAAAAATGCATACTCACAAACCAAAGGGAGATAAAAACTGAGATACAGAGTCCGTGGTGACGGTCCAAAGTGACGGTGAACCCTTATTAGAGGTAGGCTAACGCGTTTCAGAAGACATACTGCCTTCTTTAGAGCTAAAATTTTTATCTCTGAAGAAGGGAGCACGTCTCCCAGAACTCATTAGCCTACCTCACTAAGGGTTCCCTTGTCACTTTGGACCGTCACCACGGACTTTGTATCTCAGTTTTTTATCTCCCTTTGGTTTTGTGAGTATGCATTTTTATGCTTTTAAATAAACTTGTGTTTCACCATGGCAGGGGCGGACTGACAACTTATGGATAGCGGATCATGGGGCCCCTGCGTCCTTGCCCAAACTCAAATAAGCCTATGAAAAAGGTACCAGGGGCATCTCATGGGGCCCCCTACTGACCCCGGGCCCTCGGGCAGTGCCCGAGTTTCCAAATGGTCAGTCTGCCCCTGCACCATGGTATTGCATTAAGAGAATGTGCCATGTTCTGCTTTTTTTCACCAGTAACAAGATTTCCAGATCTTCTAAGGGCTGCACCTCAATGAATGACAGCTACAGTACTCCCAGCCAGCATGAAGATTTGAGCGCTGGTTTCCTTGAAACTTTTTGATACTACCTCGTACATATAAAAAAAATATAAATACCCCCCTTTCAGATAAGTGATCACATACACTCTGTTCTCAGCTACAAAAAGGAGCTCAAATAACTAAGGGAGGAGAAACAGCAGTACATTGGTCTTCCTAGTGAATGGCTATGCAGGGGGGCATGTCAGCAGAAGTCTGATGATTGGAGGAGATCAAGCTAAGTTCTCTGCACAGCCAGAAAATTGACCACGCTGTGTTGTGCCTAGTGGAGTGAGTTTTTTTGTGCAAGGAACACCAGGGATTATGCACAAAGGAAGCAGTACAAAGTGAACAGGATACTTTTTCATACAAGGTACAACAGGCACGTATCAAGAATATGAAATGTTGGGTTTACATATTCCTTCAAATAAAAGGACTGCCATTACTCCAAAACAGGAAAAAACAAATAAAAACAGCCATGCAGCATTATTTCCAATGCAATGGCCCACTAAGCATGGTTATACTTTACAATATGTTGTGTGTGCTGTACAGCATGTGTGTCCGAGATGCATTGCCTTAGTGCAAGGGTGTCAAACTGGCGGCCCTCCAGCTGATGTAAAACTACAAGTCCCATCATGCTTTTGCCTTTGGGAGTCATGCTTGTAACTGTCAATCTTGCAATGCCTCATGGGACTTGTAGTTTGACAACAGCTGGAGGGCCACCAGTTTGACACCTGTGCCTTACTGCATTGGTGTGATTGCACCTCAGTGTTTAATACCCATGAAAACTTATGGAAGACCAACCTTTTAAAAACTAAATATCACATAAAGAAATTCTTTATACTAATTTATTTACTGCAATATATGTAAAAAAATACACTTGTCTTCATGGCCTTCACATAGCCGATTACTTGTGTGTCCTATCCAAGGCCATGTTTTGCACAGGTGTTGCATGCACCCCCATGATAGCAGTCCCATAGATGTCTATTGGGAGACATGGCTGCATGGATTACCGCCCGTGTCCCAATATGGCATCTCTATGGGTGTAGGCACATGTCCCCAAACTCACTTTGGGTGCGTTCAGGGCCGTGCATCTGCACAGATGTCACATTGGGACACAGCGGCTGTGTCTGTGCTACTGCGTGTCCCAAAAGACACTGATAGGGTTTTCAGCTCAACATGCCAACAAAACATGGACCTGCACAGGGCATGCAAGTAACCGTCCGTGTGAACGAGGCCTAAAAGGTTAGAAATTTTGCAAAGGAAGGGTGGGTTGTAGAAGTCAGAGAGGCAATTCTGCCACTAGAGACTGGCCTGAATCGCAAGCAACATCTCACTGCCTCAGCCACAGTGGAAGTGATTCCATAGGGAAAGACAGGCAGCGTCTTGGTGATCCTGCTGCTCGTGATTTTGACAAATTGCCAGCAGCAAGATCGCCAGTGGTAGAGTTGCACGTCTGGCATCAGCAATGGCTGCAGAAAAAAAAGGATGGGGGAAACAGTTAAAACGTGAAATATTTTGGGGTGTCCCAACCTCTCACTTAGGATTGGTTCACATATATGCATTTTACGTTTGATGCTTTCTCTAGTGCTTTTTGCAGTTTATTTTGGGTTTTTCTACACGCATTTTTTTGATGCGTTTTGTTCAGATTTTTTCTTGGATAAAGTAGAATTTTTTTTTTTTTGTTGCTGGGCAGAATAAAAATTCAAAACGCGGAAAAAAACACACTACCATGCATTTTAGCAGCTTCTCCATTGAACTCTATTGTAGCAAAAATGCTGCTTTTTAAAAAAGTCCCCAACCCTCTCCAAAAATGCAGCAGCTCAAAAAAGCATAGATGTGAACGTGTTCCATAGGAAACCATTTTAAATGGACCGTAGTGCGTTTTTGCAAAAAGCACAAAAAAATGCACAGGTGTGAACATAGCCTGACACAGTATTAGCTGGAAACTCTACTTATTTGTTACATTTAGGATATATTTATTTGTAGCACAAAAAAAAAGACCAAAATAGAATCATTGTTTATTGTATAATAGAAAGTGCATAGTACAGCTTGGCTTGTACTCAATTCTTCATAATCTACACGGCACAATCAGCAATGTTTGGCAGAGGAATATATAGAGTAACACAGACATTTCATTTATACATCACGGAACGATTAGCTGTTCACTTCTTTGTCAAGTCTTCTAATGGATTACTGCAAATTAAAGAAAAAGACCCATAATCCCGGATTATCATTTACATTTAAGGAAATTGTGTCAAGAGAAAAAACTGTAGGTTGTCATTATTGGCCAACATCTAAAATGCTAGTTGACTGGCAGCCATGGTGATCCTCTGGCTTCAGTATGTGGTCAAATTTGCCATTATGTTTCATCTAGGCCAGGTTGCTCAGGCAACTGGTATTTTCAGAAAGGTCTGTAATGGCAGCATGCATATTCTTAAAGAGAGTTCACTTTATGACATGCATTGGGGTTTATTTATTAAAACTGAAGAGTGCAGAGTCTGGCACCGCTGTGTATGGCAGCCAATCAGCTTCTTACTTCAGCTTGTTCAATTAAGCTTTGGCAATAAAATCTGGAAGACGATTGGTTTCTATGCACAGCTGCACCAGATTTTGCATTCTCCAGTTTTATTAAAAAAAGAAAATGGAAACAGCAAATATATTTATAAATTTGCAGCAACAGAAAGATGCCTGTACTGTGTAGCAATACATTTCTGATGCTAGGCCAGATGGTGGGCTCCCTAGACATAAATGAGGGTTACACCCCCCCTAGCAATAATTCCTCTCTGATCTCAGTGTTTATAAAATCAGGCCAGGAGGATGGCAAAGCCTATGAACAGAGATCTGTACATTGTTTCTTATGTAGCTGGAGATTAGGAATTTGTCTTACCAATGAAAAATATTAAACGCCACACATATACTGTAAAGCAGCCTTTCTCAACCAGGGTGTTTCTTCAGGGGTGCCTTGGCAAAAATGTCTAAAAATTTCCCAAAACTTGTATACAATCTAGCGGGTGGAACAAGCCTGCCTTTTAGTTACACAAAGCCATAGTTTTCATTGTGCACCATTATGACCTTCTAGCCAACAGCCTGACAACCAATGACATCATCAGTTGATAAGGAGGATGTCAGCTGCCTGCACTGCATCCTGGTTTGACCCTCCCCTGCCCCTCTCCATCAGTGCTGGGGTCACATTAGCTCAGTGATGGAGAAAAACTGAGGGAGAAGAGAAACATTGGAATACTAGTCAGTACCAGTGTGCAAAAGTGTATTTGCTTTGGAAGGAATAAATCACCTCCAATGTTGGGTGTCCTACATGTGTGGATGTTGCTGTGTTATATAAAACTATTAGAATATTTTTTCACATTTTTGAATGGTGCCCTTTTAAAATAATCTACAGTCTAGAGGCACCCCATGTTAGAATCATTTTATCATCATTTTAAAAGGGTGCCTCCGGACCGTTCATGATTTTAAAGGGTGCCTTCACTGAAAAAAGGTTGAGAAACAGTGCTGTAAAGGCTTCCAGGGTAGAAGTGAAAATCTATTTGTGTTCATATTAATTGCACATGAACAGTAGAGGGTGAGCAGAATGGTGCGCAGGCAATGCCAACCCACAGAGAATTCACATGTTATTTGCACAGGAACGCAGTGCGGTTCCTGTGCATATTACATGCGATATGCTGCACCACAGAAGTGTGAACCTAGGCTGAATGTTTGCATTTATTGATGTGAAAAAAGACAAAGTGGACTGGGTGAATGTAACTTCGTAAGTTTTGTAATCAATTCACTGGTTCTTGTCTGTGTTTAAACTTTTTTAAATGAGACAAAGGGAATGTAAAAAGTGCAGTAACCCAAGCAACCATTTTTTTTATATTTTATTGCTGGCATCAAAGCAAGGATCAAACAGATGTGAAAGGCTCTACTATGTTCTATACTAATTATATGGGTGAACTCTGGTTCCTTTTAGCCTACTGTATCCATAACCTGTCTGGTTGTATCATTGTGTAGGTCCATAACCACTATTCCATAGAATCCATGGTTTCCAGAAAGTGTAATGATGATGACCAACTATAAATAAATATAGGGATGCACTAAATCATACATAATGTAGAAAGAAATCAATCAACTTAATCGTGCTACATAATCAAAAAATGTGTCCAAGTATAAAGTCCAAACATAATATAACTCTGAAAAATATTGTGGGAATAATAACACCGTGATCAAACTCCACCACCAGATGAAATGAATGAACTCACCAGAGCTATATGCTGATCAAATTAGAAATCAGCATAAGCGCTGTTGCTCTGGGAGCGATGATTGTAGGGGATATCCAGACTCTAGAAGCAATACTCTGCAGTTGTAGGAGATATCCAGACTCTAAGAGTAATACTCTGCAGCCCACCAGCCCGCATACATGGAAACCTTTTATATGATCATCATTTCCACCATGGATATTGGAACCACACTCAGATATAAAAAAAGGACATGATGGTGCAGCATGTTTAAAACCAATCACATTTATTAAAAGACAGAATCCACTCACAAACAAGGTGTCCCGGCCGACACCAGCATAATCTGCATAAGTAAATCTGCATAGACCAAAACAATAGACGAGCCCGGCTCACCGCGGACACTGCTGACAGTACCAGGGAGCGTCCTGACATCACGTCTATCCAAGCTCCGCCCTACGCGTTTCGTCATACGACATCCTCACGGAGCGGCTTGATGACCAACTAGCCTGAAATAACTGTATGCAGTTTAAAAAAAAATAGCCCTATATTATTAAGCTGTATCTTTTCTATAAACTAGTCATTCAGGATGTAAAGTTGGCCAAAATGGAATGAAGGAATGATTTGTATGGCTCTGCCCACTACCCCAAAATGAGGAACAGACTACTCATTGTGGGACTCTACTGGTTTTTTAAGTGGGGAGCTTTTTGGTTCCTTTAAGACCACCTTCCTCATCATAAGCAGTCTGGTTGTACCCATTCAAACAGATGTGAAATCGTTTCTAATCTCTACAATTCCCAGCAGATGAACCACTACTGGTAGCATCTCCTCTCCCGCTCTGTACTTCAGAGACATAATTATGAACATTAAAATTCATGTTTAGAGTTGTATCTAAAAAAAAGACAGCTTTCAGCGGTCAGCTGGTGCACACACACCCAACTCTTAAATAGTCTCTTGCCACCTTGACTGAATGTATGCAACTCCACTACCTTAGAACACAAACTCATCTGTCTGCTTTACATTTTCTGTCCTGTTTTTTTTCTACTTTCTGTAAATGATCCCCTCCAGCGTCAATTTGCTGACTCTACACATTTTATGAGCACGTGAAAATGAAAAGCTATGAATTACTGAATGCCAAACTAACATGAATAGACGAAAATGTGAGGCTAATTTAACAATCAGAAGTTCTATTTCTGCTAAAAATCATCATTGTGTTGATTTTCCTTGTGTTTGAGCCGGTTTTGAATGCATATGGCTGATCTAAAATGTTGTAAACTACCTGTACTGTGCCTCTAGGAAGGCATTAAAAACGTAACAGCTTTGTACAACAGACAGTATTTGGGCTACTAACAATATCAAATAGATGCCTTTGGGACAAGTCACAATGAGTTGATTAGGTAGAAAGGATTATGTCCAGCTCCATACTGTGATCCACATTGAATGAAAGGAAAAACTGGCACCACCGTCTATAGCCTAGAGGGATTTCCTACAATATATTTTGAATGGTGTATACATTAGCTGGACCTTTT